AATGAAAAAACTGTATGTCAAATAATCTGAATTTAGTAGCTCTTCCTTTCAATATTATCAGTTGGATTTTGTATAAAACTTGTGGCACAGTAATCCATTAACTGATAAAAGGCATGTGACTATCATTGTAAAGTGAAAGGGAAGGTGTACAATCTAAGATACAGCTCGTCTACAACACATTTTATCCCCCTTTCAGAACATGGTTATTTTTCACATTGCAAATGTCATGTTAATTAGGATCCCAACTAGATGATGTTTGATTTGTAGTTTACCACTGCACAGTAGACTTTTCTTTAACAAGAAAAATGACAGATGGGGTAAAATAACAGGACCACAGTATGTGGTAAAGAGGCTTTTGTCTCCGCTGTAGTTCCAATCGGAATCTATCCTGTCTTTGTGATTGCTATGCTCTGAATTAGGGGAAAAAAAGCACCTATTGCATGTATTAAGATCTGCTGGGGAGGTCCTGCTCTCAGTACCGCTGCCTTCGCAGGTGCAATTGGCAGGGATGAGAGACAGAGTCTTCTCAGTGGTGGCCCCTTGACTATGGAACTCCTCCCCTACCGAAATTAGATCAGCCCCCTCCCTCCTAGCATTTAGGAAACAACTTAAGACCAGGTTATTCAAGAAGACATTTGGTGAATGACAGGAATATAGAAACATGGAAGTAATTAAAGATAACTTCGGGATTGATGCAAGGCTTAAATGTTTATGTTGTGTTTGTGATTGTTGTTTATAGTTTTATAATTTTAATGGTTTTAATATATTGTTATATGTGGTTGATTTGATATGTGATGTGTAAGAAATTGAATTTTGTCATTGATGATGTTGTAAACCACTCTGAGTCCCCTGTAGGGGTACAGCAGAGTCTCGATTATCTAACCTTCACTCATCCAACGTTTTGTATTATCCAATGCAGTCTGCCTCCCACCTGGATTTACAGCTGTTTCAATACATTGTGATGTTTTGCTGCTAAATTCATAAATACAGTAATTACTACATAATGTTTCCGTGTATTGAACTGCTTTTTCTGTCAGTTTGTTGTAAAATGTGATGTTTTGGTACTTAATTTGTAAAATCATAATGTAATTTGATGTTTAATAGGCTTTTCCTTAATCCTTCCTTATTATCCAACATTTTCACTTATCCAAAGTTCTGCCGGCCCGTTTATGTTGGATAAGTGAGACTCTACAGTATATAAATGTAATAAATAAATACATACATATATACATATTTGCATGCTTCTCTCCTCTAGTAACTTATTGCCTATCTGACTGAAAACAAGTCTATTTCACTTTGGACATATCACAAGAAGGCGGACTCACTGGAAAAGATGAAATGATTGGTGAAAAGGAAAGCAGTAGGAAAAAAAGGGAAGTGCACTACAAGTGAACCGGTTTAATGAAGAAAGCCACATCCTTGAGTTTGGATGGCTTGAGTTTGCCTGTGTTCTAATGTGCAAAACAACATGCTGAAAAATGTTTTTTCCACTGGAGGGGGGAAAGTATGAAGTTGCTTTTCAGCAAACAGATGATCAAAGAAGGGGAAAACAATATGCCTCATCTATATATTTAAACCAGTGGTTCCCAATCTTATTTGGCCTACCCCCTGGAAATCAATTTTTCTAAATCTTCTCTTCTTTCTTTTATGCTTTCACTGCCCGCTTACAGTTATTCATCGCCCCCAAATGCACCTGTGGCCATTACAGCCCCCCCGGATCGCTGCAGCGCCAACCAGGGGGCGGTAACGCCCACTTTGGGAATCATTGATTTAAACTCTCATGTGCAACAGGTTTTCTTATCTGTTGGTTATGTACTGCAGCTCCAGAATTTAAAAACTGCGTCTCATAAAGTAATGTGCACAAGGTTAAATCTAGATCAGAGATATTTAATATTGTGTTTTCCACTAAAGCTACTGTATTCCAGAAGAGGATTTATTTTATAATTAGGATGTAACTGGCGTGTTTTTAGTAATTGTTTCCTTATTGTCTTGTTTTAATGAACCTACTGAATGTTTTTATAATTGTGATGGCACTGAATGGTGCTTACTGTGAGGCCGCCCAGAGTCCCCCCTTGGGGGTCAGAAGAGTAGGGTACAAATGTATGAAATAATAATAATAATAATAATAATAATAATTATTATTATTATTATTTCAGGTGATGGATTTTATTTGGAAAGGAATTTTACACTTACTACAATTTTTAGATTAAACATGTTATCCCCCATCACCCACCCCATGACTGTTGGGATGAAAATTGAACTAGAAAAAGAAGAGGAGGGGAAAGGAAAGAAAGAGGGGGGAAAAATTATGAAGATGACAGGATAAACCAATCATATTGCGTGTTACCAGCCAGCAGAATTTTTTTAAAAAACAAATCACCGAGTGAAATCGTACATTTACTCGGAGAGAGCATCCTTTCACATTTCCTTCTAGGTGATCTCTGAGCTCCTCCAGCTTTCGATGGAGCTACATATAAACATCAGAAAATGAATTGAAAAAGCAACCCGTTCTCTTTTCATGTTCTTTGTTTCAATTTTTTAAAGATAAAAAAGGTTAAGATTATAGCGTAAGACATTTTTCACTGCCTTTTCAATATATTTAACATTTTTACAATACAAATATATAATCCACAAACTCCAACAAGAATAAAACCATCTTTTCTCTGAATTGCCATTTTTTTTCAATATTTAAATCATGCTGTAAAGTGTAAATTGGCCTGGATCTAAAGATAATGGAAACTCACAAAGGATAGTCAATCATTCCATCCTCTCTGTTGCACTTCTGCCCCTGAAAAGACTCACAGGGGAATGGTCCACAAGGCGATTGCTGGAGGAGGATGGAATCACCAAAAATTGAGCAGAAATGTTTATGAACACTCAGTTTTTGGCCACTTCCTTCTCCCTTATCTGCTCTTCAATCATTTGCTCAGAAAGGACCCTGAGGTTGCTGAGAGGGTTCAGATAGATGCAGATGGAAAGGGATCCTAAACTTTCCTTCTGTTCAATACTTTCCATTCACCTAATTTAGGATATAAGCCACTGAGTTCAAAAGGACTATATTTATTAAAGTATGCATTTCAAAAAGTTGCATACATCTTATGGTGAAGAGGTACTACTTTTTGCAATACAGATTGATAGCAAATTCAGAGATATTCCCAACCCGGGAAATATTTCAAATTTACTTTTCCTTTAAAATGGATTGACACTTGTACTGTCAAACATATCACTTAACTGTATTGCAATTACAGGCAGAATAACTAAGCCTCACAGAAAGATTGTGAGAAATGCAGTGGGGGGGGGGGGGGGGGGGGGGGGTAGTATCATTGGAATAAACATAAAAGAAAACAGTCTTTTTCTGTTATGAAACCATTTGTCTGGAATTGCATATGAAAAATAGGTGCACAATATCAATTTCCATGTTCCCCTTGTTTATGCTCACTTTCACACAGAGCAGCTACATATACCAATAATAAGAGAAAAGAGAGGATGGCTTGTCCTGGAATAAAAGTGACACACACACACACACACATACACACAAATAAAAAAAATGTTGTTTTTTTTAAAACTGAGAAGGCGGGATTGGCAAGGAAAAGTCAGAAAAGAAAAGGAATCAAGATCCATGTGGTGCAAAAGAGAACTGAAGTGGAAAAAATAAAATACAGCAAAGATTAGAAGTGAGAGGCCACAAATACTGCTACATATTTACTGTGTAAGTTAGGTCATGACACATATTTTATGGTTTTCATATAGTAGATTGTATGAGAAAGGATATATTAAAGTCTCATTCAAACATGACATACTATGGTCCCTGCCCTAGACAGTTAACTGGTTCGGTTAAAACAGGCATGGGCAAACTTTGGCCCTCCAGGTGTTTTGGACTTCAACCCCCATAATTCCTAACAGCCTTAGGCTGTTGTGAATTGTGGGAGTTGAAGTCCAAAACATCTGGAGGGCCAGGTTTGCCCATGCCTGGGCTAAAACATTAGACATATGTGCAGTTCGTTAATTTAATATAGAAAGCAATAAAGGGAGCTACTATTGATTTCTAATGGTGCGTTTATTTAGAACAGTGGTTCTCGACCAGTGGGTCCCCAGATGTTATGCCCTTCAAGTCCCAGAAATCCTAACAATTTGTAAACTGGGTGGGTTTTCTGGGAGTTGTAGGCCAAAGCACCTGGGGACCCACAGTTTGAGAACCAATGATTTAGAAAATTCTCACAAATCTCTTCTTTCCTTGTCCTTCTCAAAGTTCTTTTGGAAACATAAACATAATAAATTCAGTTGATTTATATACCCAAGCAATATTTTAAAGCAGGCATGAGCAAACTTCAGCCCTCCATGTGTTTTGGACTTTAACTCCCACAATTTCTAACAGCCTACCAGCTGTTAGGAACTGAGGGAGTTGAAGTCCAAAGCACCTGGAGGGCTCAAGTTTGCCCATGCCTGTTTTAAAGGGTGAAGTGAAAACTGAGAGCACTACCAAAAAAAACAAAAAAACCCAATTTGTTTGAAACAAGAAAATCATATGTTTTAATGTATGTTCTTTCAAACACTACTTAAAACTAAATATTTGTACCCTTAATCCTATTTTAAGAAATGAAAATAAACCAGCTTTAGAACAATTAACTATGTTTAAGGAGACCATGCTTTAGATTTCTTGTCTATGTAGCAAAAAGGTAAATTCATGCTACACTGCCATCTGCCAGAGAAATATTAATAATTACAGGCACCTTACTGTATAAGTCTATTCAGAATAAGTGGAAACATTCAGAGCCAATCACTCGGCAACTTGCTTTCAGCTAACTGCATTATGGTGGCACTTGTGTAGCACAGAAACAAACAAAGTGTGATCCAACGGTGATAAAAACACTGAACTGAAAACAATGAAATGGTGAAAAATGTAAAAGCCCCACCCACTGCCTTCCCTCCCCACTCCCTCTCAAAGAAAAGTGTAGGCTATAGAAGAAAACTTGCAAAATAAAAGTTAGAAACATATTTACTTTGAGGGATCCAACTCTACTAGCAACTCCTTTGCTTTCATCCGGGCGTCTAATTTGCTACAATGGGGGAAGATGGTAAAAAAGACAGAAGAATAAAGAAAAAAGTGAACTTAAAAAAATTTCCACACAGTCAGTTAGCAGTGCATGCAAGACATTAATTTCTGACACACTTCTAGGGAACAAGGACACAGACTCTCATTTCTGGATCACATCATGACTAGTTTTCTGAATTCTTCTCCTTGTGATATCAAAGATATGGCACTGAAAGCATGTATGCTATATTTCTATATCAACTTTTTTTTTACAGTAGAGGTACCACAGTACATTCTAATATGGACCTGGTTAATTAAGAATGATGTCTTGATACAAAATTAAGACAGATGTCTCTTCTTTTGGCCATTTCAACGATATAAATGTGCACTACAGTTAAAAAAAATGAAGCACATAAATTAGAGACATGTATTAAAGATTGAACTCTCAGCTCACCAGTGATAACTGTTGGAATTATATACATGTGCCCCATGTGAGAAAAACTCAGTATAACTGCCACTGACCCTAGTTCCCAATTAAATAATTTTGCTGCCCAGCCAGAAAATTTTAATGCCATACCAACAGCATCTTAACAGTAGCCAAGACATGTCTTACATCTAATTTCAATACTATCCCTTTTATTTTCCTTGCTTACATCAAGGTAAATCTGTGCTGTGTAAAAAAGAACAAAGGAACAGTTCTGCTTATCAACCTTGCGTACTGCTAGGAAGAAAGTTTAAGAGTACAACGCTAAAACTTATACTATACAACAACGCAGGATCTGTATTTTATCATCTTGGGTTTGCTAAGCACGATAAATCAACCTAGCAAACAGAATTTGTGTCCAAAGATTTGTATGTATTGGATATGCCAGAAGTCCAGATGATATAGATTTTGAACCAGGCAGAGGATGGGAAAAAAGCTCCCACTTGAAGGAGCAAGATAACAAATAAAATAGTTTCTGAATGATATCATAATTTGGACAGCTTCATCTTAAAGTCTGAGAGATTTTGGCAGCATAGAAAATTCCAATTAATTGAAATTGGAATTAAAAATCTTTTTTTTTTTTTTTTGCTGAGCATAGTAAAAGATTGACCCAGCCAGATGTTTTTATTTTCTAATAATAAATAATTAGGCGTGGACTCTGGTCTTCCAATATAACAATGTAATATGGATTTTTTTTCAGAAACCTCGAACCTGTGGCTTAATATATCTGTGCCTTAATTCCTCATGTATAAAACTGGGCTATTGTACAAATGTTCCAGTTAAAAATTAGTACTATGTGGATAAGTGAAAGCAGATAAAAGAGAAAATGAGTATAATACAGAAGTGAAAAGGGTTACTGTATTATTTTGCTTTCAAAAAAAATCAGACAGTATGTTTGTTAAGTGCCTAGATACAGAAATTAAGAAAGCTATAAAAGAGAGCTTGAAAGTCAAGTAATAATCTATAACAAACAATTTAGCATAGCATCCTGGAATAATAAAAGGGGGGACTGGGAAGCAAAGAAAGCGGGTAACGAGATCAGGGAAAGAGGTAAAGACATCAGAGCTAACAGGAAAACGCAATGAACATGAAATGAAGTTTAAATACGTATCCCGTGCAAGGGCAGAGAATCTTATTCATTTATGATATTGTTCACCACTTACCTGATAATACACACTATTGTTGAGATTTATTTCCAAGTAGAATAGCATGTTAGCCTCATTTTTTAAAAGTGAAATTTAAATCCGTTTGGAGGCACAATACAACAGTAACTATATAAATCTCTGCAAGTATAAAGTACTAAAATATTATATTAAAATTATCTAATGAATTATTTCTCTATTCATAACAAAAATTAAGTACAAAAAGAAGTGATTTATTACTAAACAAAAATCTATTTTTCTACTGTAGATTTTATCTTCCCCAGCCAAAGGGAATCCAGTATGAAAATTTGAAGCATCCTACCAACACCTCTTTGATCTCCTAGCTATGTCTTAAATACCCCAGTTTCCCAAGCTCTCTTTGCAAATTGCTCTGTTCCAGCAAAGGGAGCAGCATTTCCTGTCCTTGACCCCATACGTAACAACAACAACAATTCATTTACTACTTACCTCTCCTTGCCTAGTTATAATCTAGTTTTACTTTCTGTGACTATCTTTAAGCAACGACCACGACCTATCTACTATTTCTATATTTGACAGTATCAGACATATTAAATCTACCATCCTATTTTCACTATAGCGAGAGACAGAGTAAGAAGGGCATGGAACTTCCTTAAACTGTGGACTCCTGCACTTATTTGTTCCTTCCTACAGTTCTACAGATTGAACTGAGCCAGAATTAACAATTCTATAATGTAGGAACAAAGGAGCTGAAAAAAATAAACATATTGTTGCTTACCTGTAAGACTGAATCCTTGGCCTTGATTTGCTATATTGTGTGATATGCATCCGGTCTGCACCAGAAAGCCAGTAATTTTCTTCTTGAGCTTGCATAGGCTTGAATTAGTATAACCCAAATAAGATCCCCTCTTGTCTCCTCTGGTCTTTTGAAACTTCTACTAGGATGACTGGTTTTGGTAAGGGGAAAGATGGGAACATGAAAGCTATTGAGGGGACTACACAAGAAAAACTACACTGACGGGAATGCAAACACTGGCTTGTTGGGAAACAGTGGATACATCTAATTTACACTAGCAGTCTGGAGATGAATGAAAATAGCACAATTCCAGATGTCAGCAGAGTAATTGACCCTGGAACAAGGAATGCAGGTCTGCTATTCTAAACTCCTTTGGCATCTAAAGCAAACACACAATATGTGCCATGCTCTTAAGACTGTATTTTCTTGTAGATCGTATTTCCTAAAATTATTTCTCATTGAATGCACACTTATAGAATGTGAGGGAAATTTGACTACTTGAATGCCAAAATCTACAATACACAGTAAAATGCAGCATCTAATGCCTTTGCTAGAAAAGTTATATTTAGTCTGCAAAAAAGTAAAATACTGATAAACAATGTAAAACATATTCATAATATGATATGCAGAAAAGAAAGAGAATGCTTGTGCAGGTGAAGAACAATTTTGTTCATGTAGAAGACACTGCAGGGTTTCACAAACTTTAGTGTTATTCATTGAGTTGGGCTTGTTGGAGACAATCCCAAGTGGAATACATTCTGTTATTCTGCACTATGACGATATTTTACTACCTTCTTTGTACCACAACACCGCAAGGCACAAGACTGTTGACTGGTTGCCTCAGAAGTGTGAGGATGTGCTTGTTCTGTGTTCCCATGTACAATAAAACCACTGAACAGTACAAAAGGTCAAGGAGTGCCAAATGTTTACTTTAGCAAAATGGGAATTTGTTTTCTTTATCTGGTATCCATTTAGATAGATAGGCATTTAGATAGATAGGTACTGGCATATGCATTTAAACACACGTATTACTAAATCAATGCTTTCAGGCACAGCAAGGATGACATCATTTGTTTTGCCATGGTGCACTGGAACATTTTCATGGCTACAGTACACCAAAATAAAGTATGTCAGTTCATTTCCCATGATAGTGGGATGGATTCCTTTTTTATTAGCAAACACTTGTAGAACCTGTTCAGTGAACATCACCATCACCATTACCAAAAAGGGATTGAAAATTGGGGAAAAAATTCAAGATGCACAATAACATGCTGAGAATTCAGATCTCAAATTTATTCCATGACTCTCACAATAACTTCTATCTCATTTAACAAAGATATGCAACATAAGACCTAATCTATAAGCAGTATGGGTGAAAAATGATTGAAAGGTTAAGCAATAGCACTGTAAAGCAAGGAAACTAAGGAGGGAGAGCTGTTGCAGTAGAACTGGTTGATTATGCTTTCACCTCCTAAAATTAATCAGAAGGCAAGTTATTCTCTTCAAGGGCAGCTTATCGTAAAGCACATTGAAGTTATCAATCCTAGATATTATAAAAACTTTAATAAGCAGGTTAAGCCCTAAGCCTCAATGAAAGGGTTAGGTCTTCTAAGACAAATACATCTAATAAGATTCTGAGTCTGTATATGTTATGAGTGAATTGTGCGTATGCTGAATTGCCTCTCCAGGTATATTTGTGTAGCATTATATGCAAAGTTTGAAAATACTATTCTTAATTTATAGTTTTATACCTAAGAGCTGAAAATAGATTTTGAACCAATTCTAATAGTTCAGATGCCAGCTGTTTTAAATTTGTTTTAAATTATATTTATTCAAGAAACCTTAGACACTAAGAAACAAGCCTACAAAACTAGTGATTAGGAGAAAAATATAATTAGATTAAAACAACAATGTAACAAGATAAAGAAAAGCAGTATTGTTAGTCTTGTCCAGTTTGAATTACAGAGGGGAAATTGAATTACAGAGGGGAAAACAATGTTTCTTCCAACAGTATAAAACTGATATAAATTCTGCTGGCTCAGTGGCAGTATAGAATGAAGAGTAAACAGACATGGAAGTATTTTAAGCTTTTGTGTATTTGATATGCTGTTAATATCGTGATATCTACTATTTCACTCTGAGCATGCCTACTCTTTTCTGATTTTGAAAGCTAAGTAGGATTGAGCCTGGTTTATACTTGGATATGGATGTGAGGCCATCGGGCAATACCAACAATCTTCAGAAAAGGCTAGGAAAGAATTCTGCCTATCCTTATTTACAATTGATCAAAGTGAGCTAAATGATATTTAAATAATATTTAAATTTCTGGCCTCAAAAGCTTTGCTTTGTGCACCTTAAAAAACAACTGTTTTTCCAATGAAATTGCTTTGACTAGGTTCTGTTACTCACGTGCGGTATTTTGAAGTGGATTATGGAAAATACCTTCTCTACAGGCTTTAAAGAAGCAATACAGGCAGAATTCAGTTAACAAATCTCTGACAAAGAAGCTTCTTTGGACAAAGTATTTTTATGGACACATAATACCTTTCCAGTTGGAGATTTTTAGCAGCATGAACCTTGTGAGTATGATGAAGATGGAGACTTTCCATGCTGAGTTGCTGGGA